ACGGCTCTATCCCTATGCTTTGCGCGATAAAGTAACGCAAAAGCTGGACCGGCTGGTTTTAATGGGAGTGTTGTCGCCAGTGAAGCATGCCGATTGGGCAACGCCAATTGTGGTGGTCTTAAAGAAAGACGGCACTGTCAGGATTTGCGGGGATTTTAGAGCCACCCTCAACCCAGCTTGTGCCACCGAGCAATACCCGTTGCGCGTTATTGAGGGCAAGTTTGCTCGTTTAAGCGATGGTGAATGCTTTAGCACTATTGACCTGTGCGATGCGTACAACCAAGTACCACTCGACGAAGCTGCAAGAAAAGTCTTCGTCATTGACACGCTCAGAGGCCTGTTTTGCTTTAATAGGCTGCCGTTCGAAATAGCATTCGCAACAGCAATCTTTCAAAGAAAGAGGATGAGAGATTGGCAGGTCTGCTGGGCGTGCAAGCTTATCTAGACGACGTACTTGTGTCGGAGAGAAAGAATGATAATGGTGAGCGACTAAGTCACATTCCGCAGCGCTTCTGCGAATAGAGAATAAAGCTCAGATTCGATAAGTGCTAACTGCGCAGACCATCTGTGACGTATCTTGGGCAGCGAATTGAACGAGATGTTCTTCACCCGACAGAAAAGAACGTGGACGCAATTGTTGAGGCACCAATTCTTCGCAAAGTTACCGAGCTGCGCTCGTTTCTTGGAATGCTGACGTTTTACGCGACGTTTACGCGTTTTACGCGCCTTGCATGTCAACTACGCTTTTCCCTTCATATCAGCTGGTAGAAAAAAATGCGTGCTGGAACTGGAAGGAACCACACGAAGCTGTTTTTACAGCTGCGAAGCGAAGACTCAAAGATGCACAAGTGCTAGTGCCTTTCGATCCAAACAAAGAGTTGAAGTTCGAATGTGACGCATCCCCCCATGGTGTCGGAGCAGCTCTGTTTCACACAGTAGGTAATGTATAAAAACCCAATGGGTATCATTCCAGGACATTGACACAAGCAGAGCTGAACTATTCTCAACTAGAAGGAGAGGCGCTGACACTCATTTTTGGAGTAACAAAATTTCATGACTATCTTCTGGAACGAGACTTCACGCTGGTGACCAACTACCAACCACTTCTGGGCCTGCTGAGACCGGACCGCCAGACACCAGCGATGGCTGCCGCCCGTATCCAACGGTGGGCGCTTTGCCTCAGGGCTTACCAATGTAAGCTTCAATACACTCCAGGGAGGCAGATGTTAAACTCCAACGCCCTGAACCGTCTACCCCGGCGAGCTGTAAAACATATCCCGGATGATGAACCAGCTGAATACGTTCTGTCCCTAGAAACACTCGAAGATGGGGGAGTAACCACATGTGAGCTGAAGGTTTCGACTTCCACTGACCCTGTCCGAGGCTAAACATTATACACTGAACGGGTGGCCTAAAACAAAAAGACTCCTTACACCATTTCGTCCTGCCATACTTCGACCGGAAGTTGGAGTTGTCAATGGCTCATGAGCAACTCTACTGGGCAAACCATGTCGTGGTATCGGAAGAGGTTCTTACCCGATTGTTGCGTCTACTGCATGACGCGCACCAAGGATCATCGGCTATGAAAGCTGTTGCACGTTTGCTGTTTTGGTGGCCAGGACTGGATAGTGATGTCGAGCAAATATAGGATTCGTGTCAAAGCTGCATCCAGAACCTACCGATGCTTACAGCAGCCCCACCAGTCAGCTGGCCAGTGACGAATGAGAAGTGGTCTCGTGTTCACGTAGATTTTGCGGGTCCGATCGCAGGAAAAATGATTCTGGTGGTAGTCCACACGCACAAAAAATGAGTCGAAGCAATACCGCTGGTGCGCACAACCAGTGAAACCACGGTAAACTGCCTGCGTGCTATTTTTTGAGCAGGTTTGGTGTCCTACGAGCCTGAGTTTCTGATAATGGTCCGCAATTTACCACCCAGGAATTCGAGACATTTGTAAAAAACAACAACATAGTACATCAAAGGTGCGCCCCCTACCACCCCCAGCCAAATGGGGTGGCCGAAAGAGTTGAGCGAACCACAAAGGAGGGACTTCGAAAAATGAAAGAAGGAAAGATGGAGGACAATTTAGTGCGACCCTTGTGCAACTACTGTAGAACTCCACAGAAAAATGGGAAGTCACCCGCAGAGATGCTTCCCAGTTACCAAATCTGGTCCCGGCTGGACTCGGGTTCTCCTTCTACGCTTGCAGAGCCGTCGCAGGGTCAAGACGACTGGGCCTTACTACCCGAGACCAGTGTCTACGTGCGGAACTGTGGTAGCGCTGACAAGTAGATACCGGGACGGGTCAAGACTACTTCCGAATCAAGGATGGCTACCGTGGAAACTTCGGGAGGGCTGGCCCAGCGACACGCCGATCAAGTGTGCTTGCAACGCAACAGCTCAGTGGAGCACCAGCAGCAGCCTGACGGTGTGATCGAGCAACGCCTGGCATCCAGCCCGCCTACGACAGCAAGGGAAGGTGATGCGGCGACCAACACGCCTCGGTGCGCAAACTCCGGTACGAGTCCTCGGCGTCGCCTCCCCACCTCAACCTACGACCAGATCAGCCCCATGGATAACACTGCAAGAAGCCCCCAACAAATCCCGAGGCATTCCACGAGAACACGCCGACCGGTGGAGTGGTTCCACTGTTAAGGAGAAAGAAGTGCTACATATTCTGCGCCGACGTCACCATTGCGTGGCACGCACGATTACGTGCGCATCTTTCGTTCTGTCATGGCCGCAGCTATCGCCGCTCCTCTCCCTTGTTTCCCTTCCTCTCTTACGTTCATACAAAATATAAGCGAGCCTTGCTTTACAATAAAGGGACGTTCTGCTCTCTTGCTGACCGGCGTAAGCTCTGTTCTTCGGCACGCCTTTGCGCGGCCCGCGGGATGCAACACACACAAACACACACACACACACACACATATATATATATATATATATATATATAATGGAAAGAGGTGTATACCTAAGGGCTCGTTTTTTCGTGTTTTGACACAATATTAATGAGATCTAACACAGTAATGCCAAGGAATGTATAGGGGACGTTAATAGAACAAATGGAATGCCATTAAGAAGAAAGAAATAAATCTGGGTGAAATAATAACCAGCCGTGAGCAGGATATATATATATATATATATATATATTGCTAATAAAACATTCTGATACTAAACATGCCGATGTAACGTCTGTTATTCTGTAATGGTAACTCATCCACTTTTTTATAGGCTTAAAGAATGGTAACAAGAAGCATCAATATTCGCGAGTGAGATTGCATTATGAGCAGCAACCGTGATGTGTACTGAGTACGCACCACGGCGACACCTGGAGATCGCGCGTTATTCGGCCACCTCCATCTTTCAGCGTCCTTTACAACTGGATTATGAGCTCGATACACATAATCAGCCAATTTTCAAATACTGTTTACCAATAGAAGATAGATATTTTAATGTGAGCTAGGACATTTCAAAGTCCACAAAAATGAGAAGCCGCATCGGTTGCGCATAAATTGTCTGCAAGGATTCGCCATAAAAGGTGACAGAATTTCTATAGCCCGGCGTGGATGCCACGCCCGATATTGTCAAGCCATTTAGCTTGCATTCGGCGAGAATACGTGGCAGGGTGACCGAAATGCCGAACTGAACGCGTGGCTGGCAGAGTCGTCAGAGGCGAGCGAAGACGAGCTGAACTCTCAGAAATATGGAAGCACCCTTTTGAGCACTTTGCCATCGTTCTTATTTCTAGGCATCATCACGCGCCGCAATGCAAACGCGTGATATCACGAGAGATATTTGCAGTTGTTAAATATCTTATATTCACCTGTGACACTTAAACATGATAGTCGACCAAACTAAAATAAATGCACTTAGCAGTAACAGATATCATAGGCTTTCTCGATTCTAACCACTTTTTTCATCCATCACAGCCTGGCTTCAGGAAAAAATTTTCGATTTTTGTGCGATACGTACCTAGCCATGTTTGTTCACGACAAGCATGTAAATCTCGATTCTAACTTACAGACTGACGTCATAGTTTTTGATTATTCAAAATCAATTCGACAAAGTTTCTCATGATTGTTGACTACTTAAACTTGATGCGTTAAATCTAAATCTTAATATTTTAGCATGAAATAAGGAATTCTTAAGTAATCGCTTACTATTCGTCTTTGTTAATAACCGTATATCTAGTGCTACCCCCGTAACTTCAGGTCTTCCTCAAGGCTCCGTACATGGTGCACTGTTGTTCCTAATTTACAATAGTGATCTATCATTTCATGTCTCATCTAATTTCCGTATGTTTGCAGGCGATTGCGCAATTTATCGTACTAATACTAATGTTTTTGATAACGCATCTCTCAAAAATGACTTGTGAAATGGGAAAGAATGGTGTAACCTATGGCTATGGGCCTAAATCCTAATGAATGCAAGACTGTCTCTTTCCATCGCCGTAAAAATCCACTTATTTTTTCTTACCGAATTGCTTGCGCTATCCTTGAATGAGTTCTTTCCTACAAATATCTTGAAATAACACTTTGCAGTGATATAGCCTGGACGACTCACATTACGAACATCATTTCATCTGCCAATAAAACACTCGGGTTTTTAAAGCTACATCTGCACCATGCCTCCCAAAATGTAAAACTACTCGCTATCAGTCTCTCATGAGGTTGAAATTGAAATATTCATCCCCCATTTGGAACCTTCATTAACAACATGTCATCAATCAACTCAAGTCACTTCAAAATCAAGCTACAAGGTTTATGTCCTCTAAGTACTCGTATGATGTCAGCAAATCAGCACTGAAATCAGAATCCAGTTTATCATCACTCACATCTTGTTGCTGAACTGCTAGCATTTGTCTTTTTCACAAGATTTTTTTACAGCTCCCTCGGTAAGTCACTGTACATTCTCCCCCCGACACGCATTTCTATTGCACCGGTCACTCACAACAAGTTGCTCGGCCAGGTGCCCGCAGCGTCTCTTTTTCGTCTTGATTTTTTTTCCGTGCAGGAACAGACTGAAACGGCCTTTCCAATGACATAAAAGCTATTACATGTCTTTTCACATTTTTGACCACTCTAACAGATCACTTTACGATGTATTGAAACGTGGCTTTTGTTTTTCATGTATGTACCCACCCCCTATGTAATACCCCTTCAATGGCGTCTCTGAGAAATAAAAAAATGAAATGAAATACTTCCGGAGCCAAGGAGCCAGGTAGTGCGCACTAAACACCACCAAACCACTGAGCTTTACCTGTGACGACCGCTGGCACATAAGTGGAAGATTCCGGTCCACAGCCGTTACCATTACAGCCTCGAACGAAAACCTCCCCGTAGCCGTATTGTGCTTCGTGACCGAACCGGATGTATCCACTCGTGGAAGTCACCCTCCGTTCATGGAAAAATGTAACATCGCAGTCTGCCGTGTTCTTGCAGGTGGTCCAGGAGTCATCGGTCCTTGTCTTGTACTGCGCACGAGGAGAACAACACATGGCTGAGAGTTGGTACCTATACTTGGTAGTTTTCCTAAAGTGAGCCGAGAGTCAGATCCCCCACTAACCATTGTTGATTGATTGATTGATTGATATGTGGGGTTTGACGTCACAAAACCACTATATGATTACGAGAGACGCCGTAGTGGAGGGCTCCGGAAAGTTATACCACCTGGGCTTCTTTAACGTGCACCCAAATCTGAGCACACGGGCCTACAACAATTCCGCCTCCATCGGAAATGCAGCCGCCACAGCCGGGATTCGAACCCGTGCCCTGCGGGTCAGCAGCCGAGTACCTTAGCCTCTAGACCATCGCGGCGGGGCCACTAACCAGCGTTATGTAATTCATGTGCTGTACTGAAAGAAACTAGAATAGACAAGGAAAAATATACAAAAAACAGGTGAATGATACAGCCATATGCCACAGCATGGTACTTGCAAAAAAGTATCACATAAACTGCTGTTTTCTAAGGATACACTTCTGCCACAACAAACAAAATTTGCAAATGGCCTCAACTTTCGGCATTATATTTGTGCACTGTCCGCATACTTTTCTATATTGAACATCTTCCTCGTTATGTGATATGCTGCATTGTGCTCTGTCAACGCAACCACCTCAGCCCTGGGCACCAAGCGTCGGCGATGGCATCGCGCACCTATTCCTTCGGTGTGGCCCTGCAGGTAGTACTTCGATGAAATCGGGAATTTGTTGATTTGCTGGGTGGAGTGCGCAGCTACTTTGCGCTTGCCTTTTTACCGTCCTATTAATTTTTTCCGTTGTTGCGGGTTGGTGGTTAACTTTTAATTCCTCTGTATTTACTTGGTCGAGTTCCTCCCGGAAGGGGATGTTGCTCCTCACATCTAAAAAGTAAATAGATGTGCTCGTCACATCTATTTACTTGCTTTATTTAGTTATACCAATACGTCATGGGCTCCAATATCTGGAACCTTGTGTGAGAGGGGCGTGTGGCGTAATAAATAACCACTATAAAATGGTTCAAAACATTGTGAATTCAACATTACAACAAAAATGGATTATATCAAAAGACATGGAGAGAAACTCAGCAAAACATGTCAAAGCAATAACTATATATATATATATATATATATATATATATATATATTGTGAGCGCGGACTATATACTTCATCTTCATCTGTATTACAAAAGCATTGTAGTGATCATCATCGTATGTCACGCGGGCTGGGCCTCTTTGGTTCGTGCATCTGGATTGAAAATATAACGTGGTTACTGCCGTACCGGACATGGTCTCATAAGTGGTGGAGCATGCTTTGGTTCCCACGTCCTCCTGCTCTACCTGTTGCCCCTGGAGCTCCGGTCTGGTCGATGGTTGTGCCCTCAAGCAACAGCGATGGTAGAACCCAACGCATCCGCTGCTGCAACCGCTCCTTCCCAGCCACTTAGGCCACACCGTGAGTACCTCTAACCGAGACCCTCCGGTATTATCTGGCCTTCACTGCGAAGACGTCGAACAATGGCTGGACAGTTATGAGCGAACCAGCGTTTGTAATTATTGGGACGAGGCGCACAAACTACGCTACGTTCCTTTTTAACTCAATGGCGTCGCTAAAACCTGGTATTGCAACCACGAGAGCGACTGCTCAAATTGGTCGGCCTTCACGGGGCATCTCCGTCAGATATTTGGAACGCCTGTAGGATGCTCTGCGGTATGGCGAAACAAAAGCTCGCAACCCGCATCCAGGTGGACGACGAATCATATACGTCCTACATTGAAGATGTTCTGGCTCTCTGTCGCCGAGCACAAAATGACATGACAGATGCCGATCGCATCCGACCTCTACTGAAAGGTATCAATTCTGTGGCCTTCAATGCTCTCGTTATCCAGAATCCAACAATCGTCCGGGACGTCATCACCACATGCCAACGCCTGAACGCGCTTCATTCCATGCGCCTTCCACACGCCTCCTGCGACGTTTACTTTACAAGTGAGCATGCATTGCGAGCCCTTATCCGCACAACTGTCAAAGAGAAACTCCACGGCCTTATTCCAAGTAACCCAACCATTGCGCCTGTCCGCACACCTCCACCCAACCTGCCTGAGATAATCAAGGACGAACTGGCATCAATGACAAGCGCTGGACATGCCACGTCTCCTGTGCGCTTTCCGGCGCTTTCGTACGCAGAAGTTGCATCACGAGCCCCTGCACCAGTTCCAACTGTGCCTGCGGACGTCGGATGCGAACATTTGGCTGGGATGGCAACACAAGTGCCAAGGCCAGCCCACTATTCTATATGGCGTCCCCCGCGCGCCATCTGCTTCTACTGTGGCATAAGGGGTCATATATCCCGTTTCTGCCGCCGCCGTCAGCACGATGAACGACGTCGTTATCCAGTTTACGAAAGAGACTTTGCCCCGAGACCCGATGAATACAATCCCGCACCGTGTCCATCCAACCTCCGTCGATCGCCCTCCCCTCCACGGTCTCAAGCTGGACCTCATCCTTCTCGTTCAACTCGCCGCCGTTCCCCATCACCGTTTCAACGTACGTCATCACCCCTGCGTCCCGCGTCGATCTGTCTGGACTCGAAAAACTAGAAGGTGCAGTTTTTGGAGGGGAAACTACTTGTTGTCGAAACGTTACAACTCCTCCGTCTCATCCAGCTAATTTACTGCCTGTTTGTGTGGAAGGTGTTTTTGTTGACACATTTATAGACACTGAAGGCGCCATTTTGGTAATTGATCGTGAATTGTGTTTGCGCCTGCGTAAAGTGCAAACTCTTTATGGCAGTCCCATGTTATGCGACGCTAATGTCAGTCCGATTTGACCAAGCGGATTGTGTTCTGCTCGTGTTCTCATCGATGGAATCCGTCATGACATACAATTGGCTGCGCTGTCTTTTTGCGCTCATCGGATAATCTTAGGCTGGGAATTCTCGTCAGCTACGTCTGCTGTAATTTAGTGTGGTCGGCCCCTCGATTGTATTACGGACACTGAGCTTTCTTCTGCTGCCGACCTTTCGTCACCCAACGTTGTTACAGCTGTGGATTTCCTCCTGCCTCCCGGACAAGAATGTGTCCTTACGATCAAGTCGCGAGACATTCCAGATGGTGACGATGCGGTTGTTCCTTGCAAGGGTTGCACTTTTCGAAGAATCACCATCGCATCTTGTTTAGGGCGGTTCTCATGTGGCGTTTCAAGCATCACCGCCTGCAAAACGACGCCAGAACCACTACTTCTGCCAAAGGGGACCACTGTTGCCAGCATTACAGAGAAGCACTGGTTTGTGTCGTCGCTGGTTCATCTACTTCGTCATTCTCAAAGTGTATGCCAGCGTAAGATTCATCTCCTGCTCTCAAGGCCACTTTGTGTACACATCTCTACCCAACGCAAACTGATGCCTTGCTAGCATTATTAAAAAAGCAAAAAACTTGCTTCGAGGTTTGTTCCGAACGTCTTTGTCAAGCAACAGTGGCCGCTCATTGTATCGAGACCGACGGATCCCGTGTCATTCGCCGCCGCCCTTGCCGTCTTTCGGCTTCTGAACGCAAGCTTACAGAACAACAAGTCAACGACATGCTCTCACGCAACGTCATCAGGCCTTCGACAAGCGCATGATCTTCTCCTGTCGTACTATTGAACAAAGGATTCTTAGTACGCTTTTGCATTGGTTACAGTTCACTCAACGAAATTATTCGCAAGCACGTCTACCCAATGCCTCACATTGACGACGCTCTTGATACTTTACAAGGTGCCGAGTACTTTTCAAGTCTCGACTTGCCCTCTGGTTATTGGCAGATTTTGATGCACGAGTATGATAAAGAGAAGACTGCATTTGCTACGCCAGATGGGCTCTTTATATTATAACGTGATGCATTTTGGTCTATGCAACGCCCCAGCCAGAATCGAACGAATGATAGACATGGTACTGCGGGGATTAAAATGAAAGATCTGCCTTTGCTACCTGGACGACATTGTCATCTTTTTGTCCAGCTTCTCGCAGCACCTGGAACGGCTAGACGAAGTCCTCACGTATTTAGCTAAGACTGGTCTCCAGCTCAACACTAAGACTTGTCGGTTCGCCAGTCACAGCATCATGGTATTAGGTCATGTCGTCAGCAAACATGGCGCTGAGCTCGATCCCGACAAGGTTGCCGCGGTACTGCTCTTTCCTACACCACCCACACCCAAAGGCCTCCGCAGCTTCCTTGGCTTGGCTTCGTATTTCTGCGACTTTGTACGTGATTTTGCTATTATTGCGGCTCCTCTGCACAAACGTCTGACCACGAGCACACCCTTTGTCTGCTCGGATTACTGCGAAGCTGCTTTTCACACCCTCACGTGAAACCTCACCTCACGGCCAGTGCTTCGCCAGTTCGACCCTGCAGCACCTACTGTGCTACACATTGATACATGTGAACTTGGCACCAGTGCTGTCCTTCTTCAGCGGAAGTACGCTTTCGAATAAGTCGTGGCCTACGTGAGCCGTACTCTTTCACCTGCTGAGCGAAATTACAGCATCACTGAGCAAGAATGTTTCGCCATCGTGTGGTCCAGACAAATGTTTCGCCCTTATTTATACGGCCGCCATTTCACAATAGTGACTGACCATCATGCTTTGAGTTGGTTATCGTCTCTCAATTTGTCAGGACGCTTAGGCCGTTGGGTACAACGATTGCAAGAGTATGACTACAGCATCACATATAGGTCGGGTTGACAGCACCAAGATGCCAACGCTTTGTCACGTTGCCCACTCTAGCAAAGCGCCGAAGTGTCACCTTCCATGGGTTCGTCACCACCCAGCAAAGTGACCAAGAAGACAGCTGCTGGTTCGAAAGAGTTAGTTGCCTCGGCGGACCTTCTTTTTTTCACAGATCTCGCCTCACTCCAACATGCCGATACCTACTGCCGCACAATCATCACTCGGCTCACTGGCTTATCACGTGCTCCAAACAGCCGCCTAAGACGACAATTTGCCCGTTTCAAGCTTCAAGAT